TAGGCCTCGTAATTGAAGCTGCTACAGGTATGTGAGTTTCCTTATGTCGTTCTCTCGACCTTTTGTATTTGTTTGAATTCTTCCACGACAAAAATTTGCAACAGAAGAATCCCTGAGGGCAGGACTGTGACTTATTCTTCGAAACGGAACGAATGGACGAATGAATGCGACGAATGTCATGCCAGACCCCTGCTGTATCTTCCCTTGAATGCACATCAAGAAGAATAACTGAAGACCCCAAGAAATCAATAAAAAGGGACTGTGTGGGTGTTTATGTCCAGGCAGTGGATGAGCACAGGAAAAGTAAAGGAATAATAAATCTGGGGGAGAATTAAGCCTGGCTCACACATCTTAACCCATGTAAACCCTGTCTCCGCACTCAGTGGGCGGGCTACCTTTATAAACCATCCCTGCCACCAAAGCAGCTCAGGAAGGACAAGGCATTTGAGTTGCAACAGTGTCATTAAATACGCTTTCTGCTGAGTATATATTGTTTCTGTTCGTGCTGCATTAAAGTGGAACGTTCTATCTGCTTTCCTGGAGAACTGGTTATTACAATTAAAAAACAAAAACAACACTACAAAGTTCAGCTCCCTGCACTTTATAGCCCAAGCTCCCCGCAGGCAGGAACTAAGACTCGGGCATCTGTGCTCCTGTGCTGGGCACAGTGTCTGGCAGGAAGGGAGGCCTCAAGTCTTCTGGGGGTCCTCCCTGTGCCAGGTCCTGGGCTGGGTCGGTATGGTGCAAAATCATGTCGAATTCCTATAGCGCTGTGACGAGGAGATTCTTAATTCCACCCTGCAGAGAGCAGACAGAGGCCCCAAGGGGTAAAGTGACTTGACCAAGGTTTCTCGCTCCCACACAGAAGCAGAGCCTGAGCCCAGCCTGGGTTGCCAGGTTGCTTCCTGCACCTGCTCTCCTCAGGAGGGTCTGCTAGTCCAAGACCAGGGATGAGCAATGGGGCTCAGACAGGCTAAGTGAGTCACCCCGGGTCACACTCCAGGAGATGGTGGAACCAGGATTTGAAAGGGGTCACCTGGAGGAAGTGCTCCGAGCTGTCGGATGAGACCCAATCTCTGTGTGTGAGCGGGAAGCAGGAGGGTTGGGATGGAGGGGACAAAAGGGACCCCCTCAAAGATCAAGGGGGCCCCCTCCCAACCCACAGGAAGCAGCTGGAGAAGACTCAGCTGACTTGAGATCTGTGGCGCCTCCAGGACCCAGGGGTGAACGTGGGGGAGCAGGATCATTGCCTCGGGAGCAGATGTTTGCTTGGGTGTTCCTCTCATCTCCTCCTGACTCCACCCCCCCCACCCCCAGGCTCTGGGTTCAATTCCTGACTCCACCATTTACTAGCTCCTTGACCTTGGGCAAGTGGCTTAGAGCAGGAAGAATCTCAGGGCAGGAAGGTCCTTAATGTTCTGCAAAAGAGCCAAGAGAATTGTATGCCTCATTCCTCAATCACACCCCTTCATTCAGCAAGTTAATCCAGAGCGCCTCATATCTGTACAGGGCTTTGTGGGTCTCGAGGGATCGTGCCTCCCAGGATCTCGTTTGATTTCTCACCTGGAGGAGGCAGACAAGACTGAGATTAAAATTCCCATTTTACAGATAAGACAGATTTTTTTTTAATTTTTATTTACTTTGAAAGAGAGAGAGAGCAGAAGAAGGGGGGGGAGAGAGAGAGAGAGAGAGAGAGAGAGAGAGAGAATCCCAAGCAGGCTCTACACTGCCAGCACAGAGCCCAACGTGGTGCTTGAACTCACAAACCACAAGATCATGACCTGAGCTGAAATCTACAGTTGAACGCTTAATCAACTGAGCCACTTAGGGGCCCCAAGGCGTATTTTTTTTTTTTTTAAAGAAGAAAGGTTAAATCTGTAATCATCAAGACAGTCTAGTATTGGCATAAAAGCAGACACACAGCTCAATAGAATAGAATGGAGACCCAGAACTGGACCCACAAATGTATGGCCAACTAATCTTTGACAAAGCAGGAAGGAATATCCAATGGAAAAAAGACAGTCTCTTTCACAAATGGCGCTGGGAGAACTGGACAGCAACATGCGGAAGAATGAACCTGGACCACTTGGCTTACACCATTCACAAATATAAACTCAAAATGGATGAAGGACCTAAATGTGAGGCAAGAAACCATCGAAACCCTAGAGGAGAACACAGGCAGCCACCTCTTTGACCTTGGCCGCAGCAACTTCTTACTCGACACATCTCTAAAGGCAAGGGAAATAAAAGCAAAAATGAACTATTGGGACCTCATCAAGATCAGCTTCTGCATGGCAACAGAAACCATCCACAAAACTAAAAGGCAACCGACAGAATGGGAGGAGATGTTTGCAAATGACATATCAGATAAAGGATTAGTATCCAAAATCTATAAAGAACTGATCAAACTCAACACCCAAAAAACAAATAATCCAGTGAAGAAACGGGCAGAAGACGTGAATAGACACTTTTCCGAAGACATCCAGATGGCCAAAAGACACATGAAAAGATGCTCCGCATCACTCATCATCAGCGAAATACAAATCAAAACCACAATGAGATACCACCTCACACCTGTCAGAAGGGCTAACATTAACAACTCAGGCAACAACAGATGTTGGCGAGGATGCGGAGAAAGAGGAGCCCTTTTGCACTGTTGGTGGGAATGCAAGCTGGTGCAGCCGCTCTGGAAAACAGTGTGGAGGTTCCTCAAGAAATTAAAGATAGACCTACCCTACGACCCAGAAATAGCACTACTAGGGATTTATCCAAAGGATACAGGAGTGCTGGTTCTTAGGGGCACATGTACCCCAATGTTTATAGCAGTGCTATCGACAATAGCCAGATTAGCGGCGCCTGGGTGGCTCCATCGGTTAAGTGTCTGACTTGAGCTCAGGTCGTGGTCTCACAGCTCATGAGTTCAAGTCCCGCAGTGGGTTCTGCGCTGACAGCTCAGAGCCTGGAGCCTGCTTCAGATTCTGTGTATGTGTGTCTCTTTTTCTCTCTGCCCCTTCCCTGCTCATGCTCTCTCTCTCTGTCTCTCAAAGATAAATAAACATTAAAAAAAATAGCCAAATTATGGAGAGAGCCCAAATGTCTGTCAACTGATGAATGGATAAAGAAGATATGGTTTATACATACCACGGAATACTACTTGGCAAGGAGAAAGAACCAAATCCTGCCATTTGCAACAACGTGGCTGGAACTGGAGGGTATTATGCTGAGTGAAATAAGTCAGGCAGAGAAAAACAGATATCATCTGTTTTCACTCGTATGTGGAACTTGAGAAACTTAACAGAAGGCCGTGGGGGAGGGGAAGGGGGAAACATAGTTACAAACAGAGAGGGAGGAAGGCAAATCATAAGAGACTCTTAAATACAGAGAACAAACTGAGGGTTGATGGGGGGACGGGGCAGAGGGGAAACGGGTGATGGGCACTGAGCAGCACAGTTGGGATGAGCGCTGGGTTGTTGTACGTAAGCGATGAACCACGGGAATCTACGCCCGAAGCCAAGAGGACACATAACACTGTATGTTAGCCAACTTGACGATAAATTATATTTAAAAAAAAAAGAAGAAGAAGAAAGGTTATTTTCCTGATCCAATAAAGCATTACTCAAACACACATCTGGGCGTAGTTATCATACGTTATATGTAAGTGTGTTTACACACACACACACACACACACACACACACACACACCAAGCATGAAACCCCTAAGTATATGCCAGGCCCAGTGCATGTGTCATTTGCATGGAATTCTCTTCCCAGCCCGACAAGGTAGACATTACGTCCACTTGAGAGATGAGAAACTTGAAGAACTGTGGGAAGTTAGGCAACCTGCCTGGCATCTCAAAGCCAGGCAGGAGAGCCACACTGGCATTCCGAGCAGCGTGTATCACAGCGATGTCTTTTCTCTTAAAAATTAACCACTTCTGGGGCGCCTGGGCGGCTCAGTCGGTTGAGCGTCCGACTTCGGCTCAGGTCACGATCTCCCGGTTCTTGAGTTCGAGCCCCAGGTCGGGCTCTTGTGCTGACGGCTCGGAGCCTGGAGCCTGCTTCCGATTCTGTGTCTCCCTCTCTCTCTGCCCCTCCCCTATGTCTCTCTCTCTCTCTCTCAAAAATAAATAAACATTAAAAAATAAATAAAAATATTAACCACCTCTGAGAGAGGTCGAGGAGACCAGAGAGGCAACAGTATGCCAGCAGTAGGATTACACTAGCATGAAACTATTATGCTGCTGTATTAGAAGTATCTGCATTTTACAAGCAAGGAGACAGCCGCTCAGGGCCACCAAGGGCTCTGCACCCCCAGCATCACACGGGTATTAAAGGACAGGCCAGGGGTGATCTACGAAGCTGGGCTTGGCGTCCAGAGTGTGGATTCCCATTCACAAGGGCTTCCAGAAGGGGACCCCTGAGCCCATTCTTGGCTCTTTCCAAGAGCGAACCGGTATTTCTCTTCCCCTCAGCCGGGTGGATGCAACCCTTTGACCCACATGCCGCGAGCCCAAGGGACTTCTTTGTGGATGAGCACAGAGCTGTGCGGGTCCCCACGATGAAACGGAAGTCCCTCCACCCCTTCCCCCGTGCCCCCCAGATGGACCACGCCAGGAACGTCACCAGCTTCTTCATCATCCCCAACAGGGGCAGGCAGCACGGAAGGCAGTCTACAGGACCCCCAAGGCTGGACCCTAGGATAAGGAGCCGGTCTCGGGAGCTCTGGTTAAAACCCAGCCCTGGCCTGTGAAGTCTCCAGGCAAACATGTGACTGTCCCCAGAGAGAAGAAGCGGCAGCTACAAAGCAGCTTAAAATCACAGCACCCGGTTCAAAATTGTTTGAGCAGATTTTACAAAAGCTTTTCAAGACTTGTCCTTTAGACGATTTCTGCCAATAGAGCCAATTTGTGCAACAAATCACTACTATCACAAGATAATTAGTGACTTTTGTCAACTGAAGGCAAAAACGATCAATGTTATGGAAAATACAGAAAGCTTTGTGAGTTACCTGTGTCTTTATTTCCCATCTAAACGTTATTGGTGCCTCAACAGACACCCAGACATGAGCGACAGTAATTAAATTCGGTCACCTTCGGTGTTTTGCTGATTTGCAGTCACACGAAACTGCGGCTGTGGGTGGGATTTTCAATTCTACTGTTTTGAACGTATCCTTTTTCTGTTTACTTCCGCAGCTGGTTTTGGCTTGATTGAGAGTTTGTGAGTCTCCAGATACATACGAAAACTGGCCGTCTTTTGTACGTTGCCCTCAGAGGGCCGGGCTAGGAGGCAGCCAGGGTCTCCCATCTGTCCCCTCTGGGTGGGGGGTACGGTATGCGAGGTATGATGTCAGGAAGAACATATAGACAAAGCCTGGACTCCTCATGCCCGACAGAGGGGGTTCCAGAGCAGAGAAGGGCCTTCCCAGCTGAATGGTTCATCCGTCATTCATTCTCCAAGCTTCTATTGAGTACCCACTGTATGCTGGGACTGGGCATGAGCTCGTACACTTACGTGGTCAGAGGCGGGTGCTCTGTCCCTGCAGGACACCCTGTGGAGAAGACGGGGTCTTTGATGCCAGAGGTCCCAGCGAGGAGGGGCCCTGACATCACCACTCACTGCTCAGGTGGCCGCCGTGAAGGGCCAAAGCCCCTCGGACAGTGACTCTGGGCATATAAGGAGAAATGTTGTGGGATGGGGCTGTTTTGTGGCTTATAGGGGCACCCACCTTGACCCCCATGCCCCTGGGCAAGTTCAGCCTTCCAGAGAAGAGTGAGCAGGAGGAAAACTCAGCCTCTAACCAACTGCTTCGCCTGAGCTCCTCTGTTGTGTGGACCGGGTTAGACTACACGCAGACGTCAACAGTCCCCAGGGAGATGGCAGCCCGAAGGCCTGTCACGAGGGCTTGTCTCTGCACCCTTCCAAGGACCCACCAGAGCCTCAGCCAGGGTGGCTCGGTGGGGAGGAGCTGGGCTCACGGTCTCCCTGATTTCTACTTGCACTTTGTGGCGGGTTGGGAAATCGTGCCCCTCAGTTCACCTCTACAAACTGGAGGCCCTCTCACCTGCGAACGGGGTAATGTTGGTGCCCACCCCACAAGCATGAAGGTGAGGTGGGCCAGTGGAGGAAAGCACTGAGAACAGTCCCTGGGCCACAGAAGTGCTCTGGAAAAGGATTCTGTTAACGCTATCTGGAGTGAGCTGAACAGTGACCCCTGAGAAGACCCGTCCACGTCCTAACGCCCAGAACCTGTCAACATCCCTTATGTAGAAACGGGGTTTTCGTCGATGTCATCAAGGATCTTGAGATGATCATCCTGAACTTTTCAGGTGGACCCTGAATTCAATGACAAGTCTTTCTAGGAGACGGGAGGAGACACACACACACAGAGGAGAAGGCCACGTGAAGTCCGAGGCAGAGACGGGAGGGTTGACCACCGGGGATGCTGACGGCCAGCGTTAGCCAGAGACGAGCAGGGTTCTCCCCCGCGGGCTTCTGGTGGGCGTGTGGCCCCTGCTGACATCGGGGTTTGAGCCTTCCGGGCCACGGAACTGTGAGAGAATACAATTCTTTTGTTCCAAGCCCCACCCCTGTTTGTGGTCGTCTGTCCCAGCAGCCCTGAGAGAGTACACTCCCCGTGTAGGCACTCTGGGACTGACGCTGTAGCAGGGGATGTTTGTTGAATGAAGGCCCGTGTGGGGGCTCCAGACGCAGCAGGGGTGACCTGAATCCCCACCCCTGGGGTCAACAGTGCTGTGTCCCTTGAGTTCCCCAGATGCAGGAGATCTGTTCGGAGCCCCATCCTCCGGGGTTGGCAGACAGTCTCCTCCGGCCATCTGGGGCTCTTCCCTGGGACCCTGCCCTCTGAAGTCCTGCTAAACCGCTCCCTGTCCAGGCTTATGGGGTCCCGGGGGACCACAGCTCATAGCTCTTGGCTTTGGGGCATTTCCACCTACCCCCGAGCCACCCCTTCCAAGCTTTGACAGCCCCAAGCCTCTGTGAGAGGGTGAAGTGGGGGTGTCCTGCTCAATGCACCCACCCACCCCCTTTTTTGGGGTTTAAGGAACCTGATCCGGCCAAGTCCCTGTGCCCCATCCACACCCAGATGGATGATCCGGTCCAAGCCCCGGCATGAGCTCAGACGTCCGCAATACCAAAGTCGGGGGGTGCCCTCTGGCTGTCCGGTGACATGGCCCTCGGCCCTCTGATGCCAGATTCTTGCAACAATGCAATTCGCTGAAGTTGTCGGCCTTCCTGTCCAAGCAAGCACACGACAGCGGCCATGCTGGGGGTAGGTCGTCCCGCCACGCGCAGGGCAGTCTAACACGGACCCTGCCCCCGAGGAGCCCATGGTGGAGCTGGGCACACCGGGGCAGAATGTGAGAATGTGACGGAGGGCGGATCGAGGAAAGATTTAGGCTGCTGGGCCCTGTGACCCATCTCTCCCGGCATTCTGGTTTTAGCGCCCACCTGTCATGCCTATAGCAGAGGGGACCGTGTCTGAGCCCCTCCTGGAGCCTCCAGACCCTGAGGCCAAGGTGGGCAATCGGGGGACCCCGACTGGCTGGAATCCCCGGCAGACCTGGGCTGTTCCCACACGAGGAGCAGAGGAGAGAGGGATGGAAGTCGGGGAGAGAGGCGTTCACGCAGAGCACACTCCGACTTCCACTCACGCGCGCGCACGTGCACGGAGAGCAGGCCAGGCCAAGAGGGAAAGCAGGACCCCGGAGACAGAGGCCGAGACAGGCAACAGGGAGACAGGAGAGAAAATTTCACAGACCCCCAAAGCAGGGCAGGAGAAATTGTTTCCAGAGGCACTTCGGAGCGGGCCCCCCTGCCCCCTACCGTCCCATCACTTAGCAGGTCTAGAGGTCCCCTTGCAGCTGCCAGCACTGGGAGGAGGGGGGTGGGCAGGGGCGGACGGGGCCTGCTGGAGAAAATCCCTCCAAACCAGGCTTGGCATCCGGGCCTCTGATTGCCCTGAGCCTGGGGGAGGGGTGGCAGAGAAAAGTGGTCCAATATGGCCGGTGCACACGCGTACCCCAGATGCCCATCTGCTCGTTAGGAGAGGCCGGGTGGGTAACCCGAGAGCCCCGAAGGCGTGGCCCTTAAAACCAGGCCCTCCTTCAGCCTGGGGGGGGGGGGGGCTCCGTCTGCCAGATCTGGGGGTGGCAAAACGAGAACACAAAAAGCTCACGTGCTACTCTAGAGGAAATGCGGTGCAAAGTGAGGGGATCCAGCTGAATCCCTCCGTCTCTGTCTTATTAGAGCGAGATCAACCCTTTTAACGAATGAAGTGTGCACACAGCCCTGTTAACCGTAGACACCGCAGTGTGCATCAGGTCACTGGGCCTTTTTCATCTTCCATAACCACAAGTCATGCCCATTCGATAGCAATAGTAACCCGTGTCCCCCTGCCCCCAGCCCCTGGCCAGCTACGTTCCACCTCTTTGCTTCTGTGAGTTTGGCTACTTTCCATACCTCGTGTAGGTGGAATCCTACGGAAGTCGTCCTTCTGCGACTGGTTTATTTCACTCAGCATAATGCCCTCCAGGTTCGTCCGCGGTGTCACAGAGTACAGAATTTCCTTCTTGTTTAGGACTGAATAATATTCCATGGTGCGTACGAAAAGGAAGCCTACAGAACGGGAGAAAATATTGGCAAATCATCTACCTGATAAGGGGCGAATATCCAAAGTGTATAAGGTGCTCCTATAATTCAAAAGCAAAAACGCAAATAACCCTACTAAAGAATGGACAAAGGACTTGACTAGACATTCAAGAAGACACTAAAGATGTGCACACGGCCAGCGGGCATATGGGAAGATGTTCAATGCCACCACTCGTCATCAGGGAAATGCAAATCAAAACCACCATAAGGGGGTGGGGGAGGCTCCTGGGTGGCTCAGTCGGTGGGGCGGCCGACTTCAGCTCAGGTCATGATCTCACAGCCCGTGAGTTCGAGCCCCGCGTCGGGCTCTGGGCTGATGGCTCAGAGCCTGGAGCCTGTTTCGGATTCTGTGTCTCCCTCTCTCTCTGCCCCTCCCCCATTCATGCTCTGTCTCTCTCTGTCCCAAAAATAAATAAACGTTGAAAAAAAAATTAAAAAAAAAAATGACAGTTCTCCCCAAGTTAAGATACCAATTTAATGGAAACCCAACAAAAAGCACCAACAGGATATGGTCACTGAATAGGATGACTCCAACATTCATATGAAAAAGATAGACGAGAATAACAAAATCCTCAAAAAAAAAGGGAATACTGGGCCGGGTGGGGGCTGGCGAGGGGAGACTAGTCCTACGAGATACTCAAACAGCTTCTAATTATAAATTAGAAAATCATAATTGAATAATATTAAAACCATACAGCACGCAAATAGACAGACCCATCATTGGAACAGAATAGAAACTCTGTAATAGTCCAAAATACGTAACAGAATTTAGACCACGATAAAGAAGGCATTTCAGATCAGTGGAGAAAAGGTGGATTCGTCATTAGATACAGCTGAGAGAACAACGTTGGCATCTGGAAATAAAGAGTTGGATCCATAATTCTTGCAGTAATCACTGAATCTGTTCACAAACATTCTGGCTCTCCTCTCCTTCTGACCATACGATTTGCTTTGATCAACGAAATGGGAGCGTAAATGTGTTTCTTTCAAGAGGAACCCTTAAAGAGTCAGGTTTTGTATCGCCATATATCTTTGTTCTTGCCATTGTAGTCAGTGATGGTCTCTGTCCGCTGGGTCCTAGACCCCTGAGCTAATACAAAACGGACATGGAACATGAATGAACATTGCAGCATACATTACCTTACCCTACCTGGTGCATTCACAGCATACACCAAGATAAATTTCATAGACATTTAAGATTTAAATGTAAAAAATGAAGCCCTAAAAATGCTAGAAGAAATCATGAGAAATCCTAAAATGCCTATGACTGGAGAACACCTTTCTAACAAACATCTAAGACCCCCAAACCAACTTTTAGAAGATTAGTGAGTTTAAATTCCTACAAAGAATTGCTGCATGACAAAAACTGCCATGGGCAGAGTTAAAATACAAAGGAAAAAACTGGAGGAAATACTCAGAACTCATATCATGGAAAGAGGACTAATTTCATTTATACATAAAGAGTTCTTACAAATCAATAAGAAAAAGACGAGTGACCCAATATAAAAACTGACCAAAAATATTAATCAATTTCTCACAAGAAAGCAAATTAACTTGGCTCTTACGCTTATGAAAATATCATTCAGGTTAAGAAAAATGCAAATTAAAACTACAAAGGAGAAGCTCTGTTTCATCTGTCAGATTGGTAAAGATGAGAAAAGTCGACGCTGTGTTGATAAGAATGTGGCAAATGGGGACCCTCCTATATTCCTAGATCTGTCCTAATATAAATTAGAGCAGTCTCTGTGGAGGGATATGTCATAATCTCTCAAAATATAAGTACACATACTCTGGAATCCAGCAATTCCATTTCTAGGAAGTTATCCCATTGGTGGACTTACACAGGTGAGAAACGATATATGTGTAACAAAACAAAAAACTCTGCGTGCAACTAGTTCTCTGGAATTCGCCAACACAGGACCACAACGAAGACCCATCAAACAATGAAATTAAGTGTTTGTGTGTTTCTGACTATTGGAAACAATTATGTAACCCTAGATGCTCTGAAATCTCATACCAAGAAGGTTCAAGGCAATTGCCCATAATTTTCCCGCTGCATTGAGTTTTGTATATTTCAGAATTGGAAGACATTTCTTCAGAAAAGCCAAGACCAATTTTTTTTTTAAAAGGTCAACTCTAATTCCATTTCAGCTGAAAGATTTTTTTTCCCCAAAACTAAAGCCATCAAATTGCTCCAGAATGTCAATGCATTTTTCTCCTTCTTATCTTCGACAGAGGGTCCCGTGAAGATTATACTCACAGCTCTTTTCTCGGTAGTTAAGGCCATGAAAGGCTTTTGCCCAAAGGGAGAATTTTCTGTTCTGCTTAAACCACTAATTTCAAGTGAGAAATTCCAACCTGAGACCCTCTGGGAAAAGTGGTCATGCTACATCAGACAGCTATGTGCTTCAGTAGGGGCTGGGGGACCAAGATAGGCCTCCCACTCAGAGGTCTACCCCATTCCTACATTGCCCACTCCAAGGACCTTGTGCCAGGGCTCCGCATGAGAAGGAACTTCAGAATCAGGAAGACCCAGATTTGATTGCATACGTCATTGAAGGATTTATGCAGAATCTCACAACCCAAAACCATCAATGGATTCCCACCCAAGCGGATGCTGGAGGGTTCAGGCATCATGACCATGACAATAAAGATTTTGACAATGAGCATCCCCGAAGCATCGTTAGGACAGAAGAGCTGACGGTTGTCTACGATGTCCTGCCTCCCGCCTAAGCCTCCTCCTCAGCTACCTAAGGGAGAGGGAGACCTACCCACACCCATTTCCTGATAATGATCGATAATGAATTCCCAGCCAGCTGGATGGGGACGCAGAGTCAGATAAATGTGAATTCTTAAAATAAAGA